TGAACCCCTGCCTGTTCCCACCCCCCCACCACCGTGGACGCCTATGTGGCTCATTCCCACTGAATGGCTTTAGGACTGAAATGTCCCAAAAGGGAAGGAGAGGGGAGGAAGGAGGAAGATAAATACTTCATCCTTGGTGGGTTTTGGTTTGTTTTTTGATGAACAAAGTTCTACATTTTCTTAAACATTTTATTTTGAAATTATTGGAGACTCCCAGGAAGTTGCAAAAAATAGTACACGGGGCCCCATGTGAGCTTTGTTTCCACTAAGCCCCGTGGTGACATCTCACACACAGAAAATACAGCATCAAAAGCAGGAAATCGATAGTGATACAATACTGTTAACTGGACTCCAGACCTCATTTCTCAGGTTTCACTGTTCTTTTTTAAGCGTGTGTGTGTGTGTGTGTGTGTGTGTGTGTGTGTGTGTGTAGTGCTGTGCAGTTTTAATCTAGGTAAAGAATTGTGTAGCCACCATGACAGTCAAGATAGAGGCCTGCCCCAACACTGAGGAATTACCTTGAGCTACCCCCTTTTAGATTTGACTATCCCTAATCTTTATCTCCTAACAACCACGGGTCTGTCCTCCATTTTTAAAAGTCTGCCATCTCTCTCTCTCTTTTTTTTTAAGATTTATTTATTTATTTTGAGAGAGAGAGAGAGAGCGCGAGCGGGGTGGAGGGACAGAGGGAGAGAGAGAGCATGGAGCTGGACGCGGGGCTCGATCCCAGGACCCCAAGATCATGACCTGGGCCGAAGTCAAGAGTCCGTCGCTCAACCGAGTGAGCCACCCCAGTGCCCCAAGTCCACCGTTTCAAGAATGAGATATGCATGGAATCACACGGCAGGAACCAACCCTACTAACACCTCGATCCGGGACTTCTGGCCTCCAGAACCAGGAGACCACAGAGTTCTGGTGTTTCAGCCACTCCTTCTACGGCCTCCCGTGGCCATCCCCTTTCTGGCCCCCACCAGCCGCCAACCTTGTCCCCCTCCGCCACCAGTCCCTGACCCCCTTCCGTCTACCCCGAGTTTCTCACCAGTTTTATTGTTCTGTGGCTGGTAGCCCCTCTGCTCCATGCTAACCTCTCCCTGTATGGCTCCTTCAGGAACTAAATCCATATTCGTGTACCATCTGGAACCAATCCCCTTAGTTACCCAACATCTGCAGGTTCCTGCAGCCTGAGCACAGGCCGGCCACGAACTCAGTGGGCAAACAGGGTCTTCTGGTCCTGGCCGAGGGCGCGTCACCGAGGAGGCGGTCGGGGAAGGGGACCCCAGTGTAAGATGAATGGGCCACGACCAGGGTAGCGCTGGGCATGGCGGGAGCGCCGGGGCGGTGTCTGCCCCCCAGCGGGAGGCGCCCCAGGGCTGAGTCTCAATACTGGAGTAGGACTTGTGAGAAGAGAATGGTGTTGGGAAGGGGGCATGGGCAGAGGAGGGCAGGTGTCCAGGGGGCGGGCTGGGACGACTCAGGGGACCTGAGAGTATTTTGGTGTGGCCAGAGCTCTGTGTGGGATGGGGACGGGAGGGAGTGACCCTGAGCTGGGGGTCAGGTTTGCGGGGCCCCAGCCTAGTCTGGACTTAACATCGGCGTGCCAGGTCGGCGAGCACCTGGAGGTGCAGGGAGAGGCCCTGGGAGCCCCACGCGCTTCCCCCCCCCAGCACCCCGCACCTGGCCACGAGCACCTCTTCCATCTGGCTCTTCCTGAGTCGTATCCTTTCGCCCCAGGCCGGCGATCTGGTAAGTGAAAGGCTTTCCTGAGTTCCGTGAGCTGCTCGAGCACGTTCATCAAACCCAAGGAGGGGCTCGTGGGAACCTCTCATCCGTATCCGGTGGGTCAGAAGCTCGGGTGACAATGAGAACTTGGATTAGCCGGGGGTGGGGGGCAGTCCTGTGGGACGGGTAGACGGTGCCAGAGCGGACTGGAACGGTAGGAGCCCAGCTGGGGTCGGAGAATCGCTTGTTCGTGTTGGGGAGCCCACACACTGGAACGGAATAGAATCGTCATCACGTATCATTGAGAAATGCTGACAACAACCCGAATCCCAAATGATCGGGAACACGTTTAAAGATGAGTTATGCTGCTGGTTGCCCTGGGCTGGAGGGCAGGAGTGGTCGGGCAGGTGAGGCTGGAAGGCACGGGGCCTCTTCTTGGGGTGATGAAGGCTCTAACATTGATGGCGGTGATGGTTGCCCAACTCTGTGAATATACCGTAAACGCATAACGTCCACACTTTTCTTTTTTTTTTTTTTTAAGATTTTATTTATTTATTCGACAGATAGAGAGACAGCACAAACAGGCAGAGTGGCAGGCAGAGGGAGAGGGAGAAGCAGGCTCTCCGCCGAGCAGGGAGCCAGACGTGGGGCTCGATCCCAGGACCCTGGGATCATGACCTGAGCCGAAGGCAGACACTTAATGACTGAGCCACCCAGGCGCCCCTCCTTTTTTTTTTTTTCAAGTAGGCTCCTCACCCAACGTGGGGCTTGAACTCACCACCCTGAGGTCATGAGCGGCAGGGTCCACCCACTGAGCCCGCCAGGCGCCCCGCCCCGCGCACACCTTGGGTGGGCAGTTGGACGGAATGTGAAGAGTGTCTCAGCAAAGCTGAGGCCAGAACGTTTTTTTCCAGGATTGAGTAGAAACGACCTCACACAGAACATGGTCGCAGCACAGCAATGACTGCCAACGACGCCGGATTGTGAAGTTCATAGTTGTTAGGAGGCCGGACCTCCTTGTTCCCACCGCACACACGAACGCTCACAAGGTTCTATGTCAAGCGCATCTCAGTTAAAAAAAAAGGAAGATGTTCTTCAGACAGATGGAGGCAGGAAATTTCCCTCCACGGTCCTTTCCATGGGGCTGGGAGGTGGTGCTGGGGGGCGCTCTAGGAGGGACAGGAAGGGCAGGTGCTCACTTCACACCCCTGCCCCCCTTAGTGTTTCGTGAGCCCCCGGTTCCTGACGGCTGACAGAGCACTCAGGACCTGGCTGGCGGAGCCCGCAAGCATGACCACCCGCGTGGGCACGAGGCAGGGGTGCGCAGAAGGCGGCGCTGGGCCTCTGAGGTTGGGAGGAGCAGGGCGCACCCCCCGCCCAGGGCACTCGCCCCTGCCCGAGGTTGTACCCCAGCTTCTGTGCCTCACCTGGCCCAACGCCTTCCTACACGGTGGCCTGAAGTTGGGGCAGGGATTGAAAAGCAGGGGTGAGCTCAAAGGACACAAAAGCACAGACTCAAAGGGACCTACAGGTCCACTGACCGACGAGAAGGGAAAGGTGTGGTGTATATGGAATACGACTCAGCCATCACAGAATGAGATCTTGCCGTTTGCGGTGTCGTGGATGGAGCTAGATGGTACTATGCTGTGTGAAATACGTCAGAGAGAGACAAACACCCTATGATTCCCCTCGTATGTGGGATTTAAGACACAAAACAAACGAGCACGGGGAAACGAGAGAGAGGCAAACCACACAACAGACTCTTAACTACGGAGAACAAACCACTGGCGACCAGAGGGGAGGTGGAGCCAGGTGATGCAGATGAAGAAAGCGCATGTCGTCATGAGCACGGGTAACGTATGGAAGTGCTAAGTCACTATCTTGTGCACCTGAAACTAGTATTACATTAAATTAAATTAAAATTTAAGTATTAAATTAAAATAAAAACTTAAAAAAAACAGGAGTGGGCTCTGGGGGTCCCTAAGAGCACAACGTAGATGTAGAAGTCCCCCCTCTGCTGTAAGAGTCCCTAAGAGCACAACG